CTGAACCGGAGCTGAAACTAGGCTCGGTGAAAAATGCCCACCTCCAGTGGCAAAGCTTTGGCTTTGTCCTTGCAAGTTTTGGTTATGTTGTCGGTCAAGACATCGAACATTTTTCTGCTGTAATAAGTCATGACAGTGTCAGAGGTGACAATTTTCTGATATATTTCTCTTTTCGTCTGTCGATGATTTTCAATAAATTTCAGTTGGTTCATGTTGTCCTGAATAAGTTCTGTTTTGTTTTTTAATTGATGAAATTAAAATGCAGTACTTGGTAATTGTTTGTTTTCCATTTCATGGTAAAAAAAATGCATTATTTTAACCGTTTTGTTTTTTTTTTAAACCCTTGGGTGGAATTCAGATTTCTTTTTCTTGGGGAAATTGTGAAAAAGGTCATTTTGTCTCATCTTATTCGAAAAATTATTCTTGCGAAATTCAGATTTTTCTTGGATTTTTTTTTAAAAAAATTTATAATGATTTAAGAGGAGATGAATTCATCTCTAATTTTTGGTTTTTAACAAATAATCTAATCTAATTTTTGTTGTCAAGTCTTTTTCTTCTCTATCATTATTTGTAGTTACTACACAATATTTTATTTGCAACCGAAACATTTTTATATATTAATGTAAATAATCTGAGACATAATATCCGTTTTAAATCATTTACATACCTATTTCACGTCCAAAACAAAATACAAACCTTATATATTTACTTTATTAAACATCACATAATAAATGATTAAAAAACATATTAAGGGTTAAACTAGACTCTAGGCGAAAATCCAAAAAAAAAAACACCCAAACATCTTTACAAATAAAACAATTCATTTTATTATGTAAATCATATTTTAACACGGTAAATATAGAGTGCCAATGATCCAATGCAGAAAAAAAAACTATATATGCTTCTAGAATAATCATAAATAAAAATATGACTATTCAATATTCTATAAATCTACAAATTAAGATTTTAGAAAAATGAAATAAAGTGGAATAGATTTAAATTTTTTGACGCGATATTGTATTACTAAGGTTTCTTATCTTCTACATCTGTATATATAAATTTTTAACGTCTATTAATATTTCTGTTTTGCATATTTGGTACAAGGAAGAATTGGTAAACATATATAAATATTTTTTCTAAGAAGGAAACCCTTTTTTTCTTTGGATTCGGACTTCGAACTTCAAATTTCGCAGTCCGTTTAATTCCCCTAAAGGCTAAACTACTGCGAAGCAGAGTAGAGATCGTACGAGCACGACCATTCGCCGCCGCCGCCTTTGTCCTGTAAGCGCTCTGATCTGATTTGTCGTTCTGCTGAAACGAAAGGGAAAGGAGAGATTTTGGGTTAAGGACAGATTGATTCTGCTTTCCTTCTGTGTTGCTTCGGACGTGAAAAGCTTCCTCCTTTGATTCATTTTTGCTGTAAAAAAAAAGGAACAGGGTCAAATGATTCATGTGAAATGCAGGATTGATGATTCACGCGCGTATGTTATTCGATTAAATGCCTGAAAGAAGGGAAAAAAAAATTTTGATGAGGAAAAAGAACTTGGTCTCCTTTAACACAATGGTTCTGGTTTAGCTTGCTCTGGTGATTCGATTATGTCTGCCTTGAATTTGTATGTGTTTTTATAGCGATTCTTCTTGTTGGGATGGATAGAGTCCATTAGAAGAGGCTTGGGAATCAAGTCTTTGTCCGTAAATGATTAAACTCTAATCTTTTCATTTCATCCTTTCCCCGTTGTACTTATGGTCCGTCTGTTATGATTTTTCATTTTTCTTGTAAAGTTCTTTGCTACAAGATGAAATGTTGTTCCTTTGCTATTCTTATTCCACTTTCAGTTTTCTTATGCTTTTTGTATGTCTTAATGTATTATGGGATAGGCATTTCTCTTTGTTTTCGTTTTTGTGTAATCTGGGATAGGGGTAACTTATTCTGAATTTCTTCAGCAGATTTCACCATGTTGGATGAAAGGAAGTTTGATGTCCATCTCAAGTTATGGGCGCTTAGGGTTCCCCGTGAACTATGCGGAACTGCTACTCGTATCCTCAATGGGTATGTTCTTCAACTTATAAGGTTCCTATTGTTTGTGGCCATATGTAAAAATCCATTTTTTCTTGCAGTTCTTACTCATTCAATTCTTTATCTCTAATTTCCGAGTCCTCAGTTTTCCTTGTGGTAACTTTAGTGACTACTTATATTCAGCATTTGTCCTTATTCACAGCTTCTTGAATCAGTATAGTAGAAAAGCGTTTGTTTTACCAGCTTATAGAAAATTTGATTGATTATTTTTCTTTTTGTGGTCTTCGGCTGTGATCTGTTTGATTAAAAGAAAGGTTCCTGGTTTTATCACCTGTAGATATTTGCTCAACAAGCCACGTGTAAAACCCATCACAGAAGACCCAACCAGTGAAAAGAACCGTTTGATGATGTTATCTGAAAACGTTCAAAATGTTGGTAAGATTTTGACATATCGGTTACTTTTATCTTGGCGGGCAGTTATCAAAAGTGTTAGTTATAATGTGCCAAAGAAATGGTGGAATTGGAGAGCTTTTTCTGTTTTTTGTTTGAGGCAATATAATCAGGTCTTTTTGTTCTTGGACAGATTTGTCAGATGTACCTGAAGAGAAACTAAATGAGCTGAGGAAGCTATGCAAAGTCGAAGTGGTTCCCCATTCGCTCACTCTTGGATATTCCTATTGGAATGCAGGTGATACTCCAATAAGAACAGTGTTTGTTTCCATGTTTCTATGGTCCATGTTTGTACACTTCTGGTACCTTTTCCTTTGCAATTACCTGGATGATCAAATTGCTGGTTCTAGGCAGTTAAACTCTAGGTCTTCTATAATTCTTTACATTTAAAGGAAAAAGTTGTCACCATGGTCTTAAATGTTGTATGGTTGTTAGTTTTTCTTTTTTCTAGGACATCACAAAATTGTTATTTGTTTAAGGCCTTTATTACATTTAGGTTGATTTGAATTACCTTCTGCAGCCGACCCAAATAAACTTGGGATTAAAGCTGTGTTGTTGTTGCTGTTGCTGTTGTTGGTGAATTACCTTCTGATTTGGTTTTATCACTGCAGATCAGATATTGAAGCAGATTTTACCTGCAGGAGTGGAAATACCTTCATCTTTTGAAACAATAGTTAAGTGTCCAATTTGTGCAATGTTTCTCAATTATGACCCAGTGTCCATGATAGTAATCTGCGTGATATCTCTTGAATTTGTTTTTCTATCTTGTCTGGATACCTATTTTTTGGATATTAACCCTACATTGTCCTCAAATTTATATTTATGTCCAAAAATCCAAAGCCTCTGATGTGTCATACCCACATTGTTCTTTCTTTACGCGCAGGTCATGTCGCTCACTTGAATCTGCATGATGAGCTCCTCCCATTCAAAGATGTTATTGCAAAGGTGATTTATGATGTAAGTTTTCAATGTTCCTCTCATCCAAACACTTGAATCTTTACTCCTTATGGGTTGTATTATTAACTGCGATGACATTTAGGTTACCTGTTGATGTTCCATGTACGCAGAAAAACTATCCAAGGATCAAGACAGTTGTCAATAAAGTTGGTACTATCACAAACGAATTTCGGGTACCAAAGTTTGAAGTCTTAGCGGGGGAAAACGATATGGAAACAGAAGTAAAACAATATGGGGCGACGTTTAAGCTGGACTACAGCATGGTTTATTGGAATTCAAGATTGGAGCATGAGCATATACGGCTCGTCTCTCAGTTTAAGCCTGGGGAGACTATATGTGATATGTTTGCTGGCATTGGGCCTTTTGCTATCCCCGCAGCCCAGAAAGGATGCTTTGTTTATGCTAATGATTTAAATCCCGACAGTACCCGATACTTGAAGATCAATGCAAAAGTCAATAAGGTTGACGATTTGATTAGTGTGTACAACATGGATGCTCGGAAATTCATTTCTCACTTGGTGGCAGCCCCAACTTGTGACGGGACTCAGCAACTAGTGACTGATGGAGAAACACTGGAAGCAGACACAAGGCAAAGTGGTACTTGTTATGTTTTCAACTCAATTAGTTGCTGCATATGGCTTTCCTAGGAGAAAGGACACATTTAATTCCGAGTTTTCTTGATTTTCTGCACAATCATAGCTGAGACTGTTGCTGAAGATCACAATGTTGGCAATAACATAGAGGAAACACATGAGTCCCATATAAGCATGAATGAGACTCTTGCTCCAAACAAGAGGCTATCAGATAGTTCAGAAGCAGGTAAGAACTGGTCTTCAGTTTTTGTTTCAAAGGCACTGAAATTTATAATACAGGCTGGGATTCCATGTTGCTGAAGGACCACCTGTAACAGACCTCAAATTGTATTATCAAACTACAATAAACTTAACTGAATGCAGAAAATGTGGAAGGGAAAGATGGAAAGAAAAGAAAAGGAAATGTGAATAAGAGGATGAGACAGTCAGCGCTGCCGAAAGCAAAGCCCTGGGAACATTTTGACCATGTCGTTATGAACCTCCCAGCTTCTGCCTTGCAGTTCCTAGGTATGCAGTATGTTTGGCTACTTCTCCTATGATTGTAGAATGGTGATAGTAGACTTTTTTTTTTAATTGAATATTTTCATAAATGAATACTTTGAAAGAACATACATACACATCGAATTGCAACTGGGGTTCTTACCTGAATGAAATAGTGATCATGATACTGATATATTGATGCTGTTTCAGTCATGCTTAAATGCATTGGGTTTTGTTGTTGTTTCACCAGACTCCTTTAGTAAGGTTATCCAAAAGAAATATTGGAACGGCCCTCTTCCATTGGTCCATTGCTATTGCTTTATCCGTGCAAATGAAACCAGAGAATTTATAGTAGCGGTAAGCTTTAAGTATTCAGTCTCTGCTTTGCCCTTCTCTTAGTGTTGTATCTCTTATTACATATCCACCCAAAAAAGGTCTTAGCTCTGTATCAAAGATCTTCGATTACTTCCCTATTCTCGAAGTTTGAATTGCAGCTTTTGGGCATTGCAGGAGGCTGAATCTGCATTGAAGTTTCATATAGACGACCCCATATTCCACAGGGTTAGAGATGTTGCTCCAAACAAGGTAAAATCTGATTTTTCCTTGCATGGATTTCTGATGGGGTGAGATTTTGGATGTGTCTTCTGTCAAAGCTTAAACCAGGTTTTAATTTGGCAGGCGATGTTTTGCCTAAGCTTTAGGCTGCCCGAGGCATGCTTGAGGGAAGATTCGCCGTGAAAAGTTACAAAGATTCGGTTTTTCCGATGACCCGATGATATTTTCATTGGATGCTTGTGGATGAGCAGAGAATCTTATCCATCTTTTATGTCACCTTTATACTGAAATAGTTTAGATTTTCATTTGCCGGATCTTTTCAATGTTGTATTCCTTGTTCTGTACTGGTTTTTAACTGATCTTTCGACATTGTATGAAAGTCGAATCTTGGAAACCATGGTCGAAAAATCGGGTTTGGTTTAGATTCCTGTAGTGTGTGTGTGTATTGCAGAAGAGAAACGAGAGATAATTGGGCAAACACAAGTAGAAGAACTTACAACTCGGCTGAATTCTGTCCTTGAAAGTTTTTTGAGGTCGAACATATTTTAAGCAAACTAAATTTATAGTATCTTGTATATATCCATTAAATCTGATATTTCAGGTTTTAAATTTATATCCCTCTTCCAAATTTAAATGGAGAAAGAAAATCTATACATTATACAATATATATATATATATGCATATTTATGTGTAATCTTTGCTTACTAGTTTCTCAGCAGCTTTCTTCACACCATATTTGAGGTTGACGCATCAAAAAAGCTGTTCAACAACAAAGAGAAACATATTCGTGTAACACAAGAAACTTTCCATTACAGAATTGTTAGATCCAAGGAAAGAGAACGTTTGGAAACTTGTTTATATTATGTAAGAAGAACACCTTCGACCTATCTTTCACCAAAAACTGTAATTGAAAACTAACTGAATCCTTCTACAAATTCACCCATCTCGTGATGGCATTCGGCGTAAAATCGGTGTCTGTCCATGGACTCTAATTGTATCCAAGAGCTTCATTTCCCTCACCTTCATATCCCTGTGACCATAAACCAGAAATTTCTCGTCCAGCCGTCCGGTCCAACCCCTGCAAATCATGGCGAAATTCTCTATCTATCGAACCTAGATGATATCATCGGTGCTCGGGTTTTCACCCCTTCTGTCTATTTCTATCAATCAAGCAGCCATCCCGATTGTTCAAATGGAGAATCTGTTGCAAAACGGATTGAAGATGCGCTCGGGGAGGTTCTAGTCCCGTATTACCCGCTTTCGGGTAGGCTAAGGGAAGTAGAGAATGGGAAATTGCAGGTGTTTTTTGGGGAAGAGCAAGGTGCATTGATGGTAACGGCGAATACTCCGATGGAGTTAGCGGACCTAGGCGATCTCACGGTTCCAAACCCGGCTTGGCTGCCATTAGTCTATCAATACCCAGATGAAGAAGCATACAAGGTCCTCGAAATGCCATTACTTATAGCGCAAGTAACATTTTTCAGTTGTGGCGGGTTTAGCCTTGGGATCAGACTTTGCCACTGCATATGCGATGGGTTCGGGGCAATGCAGTTTCTCGGCTCTTGGGCCGCGACTGCGAAAGCCGGGAGATTGATTGCAGAACCTAAACCTGTTTGGGAAAGAGAAGTTTTCAAACCTAGAAAACCTCCAAAGGTGATGTACCCTCACTTGGAGTACATGCCAATCGACGAAAAATCGAGCTTGACGAAATCCTTGTGGGAAACTAAACCGGTCCAGAAATGTTACCGGATAAGCAAAGAATTCCAATCTCGGGTTAAAGCCTTCGCTCAAATCCAAGATCCAGACCTAATCTGTAGCTCATTCGACGCCATGGCAGCACATATATGGAGATCATGGGTGAAGGCACTCGATGTAAAACCATTAGACTACAACCTCAGGCTAACGTTTTCAGTCAATGTACGGCAAAAACTCGAGAACCCGCCATTGAAACTAGGGTTTTACGGGAACGTCGTGTGCTTGGCCTGCACGATGAGCACGGTGGACAGCCTCATGAATGATCCCCTGGCAAAGACGACGCGTCTTGTTCACGAGGCGAGAGTGAACGTATCGGAAGATTATTTACGGTCCACGATAGATTACGTCGAGCTGAAAAGGCCGAAGAGGTTAGAGTTCGGGGGGAAGCTTATGATAACGCAATGGACTCGTTTCGATATGTACGAGACGGCAGATTTCGGGTGGGGAAGGCCGGTTTATGCAGGTCCCATAGACTTGAGGCCTACGCCTCAGGTCTGTGTGTTGTTGCCTCAAGGAGGAGTTGAGTCTAATTCTGATCAAAGCATGGTGGTTTGCATCTGCATTCCTCCTTGTGCTGTTCATGATTTCACTCGGATTCTATCTTCAGTCGATCCAATCTCGGTTTAGCAATTTGGTTATGATCCTTCAAAGCTATATATAAAATTGTTTACTATATAGTTTGTTTTAATTAAGAAATTGTGTTATGGATTTGTAAACTTTGATGTTTGTTGGGTTTGTGAGGTAACTTCTTGTTGAAATTTTGTCATGTGTTTTTTTTCCTTCTTATTTTTACATTTGGTGAAACATAATGTGTGTGTGTACATTGTATATGAAATCCAAGTGAACCAGACCAAACCGAAATTTCAGTTTCCGGTTCAGTTCGGTTATTTCATATAAACTGCACAAGTCTTTTAAGTGTCGGCTTGATAAGTCGGCACTAATTCGAAAAACGAATAAGATCAAGGTTCCAAAGGGAACAGTTCAAACTCACTAAAACGTGAAAAGTAATTCATGCAAAATTCTAAAAACTATGAAAAATATCTCCAATCACACCGTAAATTTTAGTAATTACCAATAGAAAACGCAGATTATGAATTTGTTTTCTCATTCTGGCTGTTTTTTTACAGAGGGTAGTTTTTCATACAATAACTAAAAAACCTACCCAATTTTGCCTTGAAACAAAACTACAATACAAATGCTATTCTCTCTCTCACTCAGTAGTGTCTCTCTCAGTCATTGGGATCTATACCTTTCTCTGCTTCATTTATATCGTCAGCATATTCGTCCAACAAATAATCACAAATCTCCAGCAGTTGATCTGCCAGTGGCGGGATTGCGGGGTATCGCCCGTCGTTATACAGATGAGCGTTGAACTTTATCTGCCAAACGTCGTGCCTGAACTGCTCTCGGTCCTTGTATTCCAATCTCCGTACCTTTTCTCGGATCGTTGACAGATCCATCGGCCGTTTCACGATGTCTAGATAATCCGGAGCCTCCTTCCTCGATACGGGTTTCAAGAAAAGGTATGCCACTTCTTGGTTTGCTCTCAGTGTATCCACAATGCCCTCCAAGATATTTGACAGACCAACCTGTTAGGTAAACCAAACGGAGATATATAACAGAACATAACAGAAGACAGCAATGAGTTTGATGAATAATGTTCTGTTTTCGTGATCCATGAATTTCTGTTCGGGTTTTCAGAAAATATGCACCCGTTTGAGATGGATTAACTAATCTACGAACACGAGCCCTACTGAATCTCAGACGTAGCAGCAATGTGGCGAAATCAAGAGTAGAGAACAGACACACAATGTTAGAGCAATGATGGTTTCTATGTAAATCCCGAAAAGCAAATTTAGGAGGGAAGAGAGTTTACCTCTCCTTTTCTTCGCCGTTTTGGCTGAGGTGCATACTCTGCTCCGTCTCTGTCAAGCTCGGATACATATCGGCTTCTGGAGCTCCGTCCTCTTTCTGCTATTCTTCTATCGTTTCTTCTTGAAGGGTAATCATCTAAATATACTTCTTCTCTTACTTCGGGTTGAAGCTTCTTTTTCTTCTTTTTCTTTTTGGCTTTTGCACGTTCCTCTTCCTCCCTTTCCCTTCTTATAACTTCTTCGTATCTTCTAATCTCAACTATCTCTTCAGGTTCATCCGATACAGCCGAATCATCGTAACCTCTCCTTGCCCTTCCTTCCATGTGCCTTTCTGCACCTTCCTCTTCTCCCCACCAAGCTCTTTCCACTTTGGGTCTCCGCTTTAACGAGTCCTCTGCTAATCTGAAACTTTCCTGCCTCTGATAGCCTGCAAGATCAGCCATTCTTTTTGTTTTCCTCGACTCAAATTGTGGACTCTCTTCAAGACTACTCCAGTCATGATCGAATTTCTCTTTAGAACGTTTTATGACAAGTTTCTTCTGAGGCTGTTCTCTTTCTGCTGGTGGCCGTATCACTAGATGTAACCTCCCAGATTCAGCTTGATCTCTATCCGTGCTCATTGAAGGCTGCGGAATAAGCCTGCTCGGGATGACCTGCTCTCGTTCTGTACTAGACAAGGGTTGACCAGAAACAGAGGGCTTGTGAGATTCGCTCAGATATCTATCTCTGCCCACAGAAGGCAGTATAGACTGTGATGGTCTATCAGATTCAACTTGTAACTCTTCGGGCTTTGCCTTATTCGAAATCTTGATTTTGCTGATCCTGGATGCAGACTTAGTCACAGTTTCCAAATCAGACGCAGCTGCTAGGTCGGAACTTCCTGGAGCTTCTGGAACAGGTATATCTACCAGGCCTCCACCAGCGGGCCCACCATACCTAAATCTCAAAGGTAGGCCTTTCGTCTTCGAAGTTGAAGTCTCCCCCTCAGGAGCTTCAGCTAATGGAACTTTCATTATGCTTTTTGATGCAGGTTTGCTCTTTACAGGTTTTGTCTTGGTCTGTCCAGAAATATCTGAAACATTCGGTTTTCCAGCAGACTTTTCCATGTCCATATCTTCATGCTGTGATTCTGTATTTTCTCTGTACTTGGGGCAGTGTTTATTGGTTCTCATGTGTCCATGCTGACAAACGACAAGCAAGAAAACAGTCAAAAAGGTATTTCACTTTGAAGATACTTATGGATTGATAATTTAGTTAACCAAGGAATTATACCTGACCACAGGCTCCACAAACAAAGTTCTCTCTTGCTGATTTCTTTTCCTTGAAAACCTGCTTCAAACCAAGGGAAGAGACGATTCAAAGTAAGGGAAACAGGACAATGAAAATTGAATCGACTAAGAAAAACACGTAGTCAAGGACACACGGAGTTGAACTACGTATACCTTTAAGTTATCACCCAGTATTTTGACCTTCTTTGGCTGACCTAGAGACGGTGTACCATTCTCTTTAACTTGTTTTATTTTCGGAGGCCTAATAATAGAGCTATCAACCTGGCAACAGAGAAGAGAGTACAAGAGCCATCATTCACATTTATCATCGATTATCAAAACTGATTACTGGAGACGGCACATGACCTGAAAAAGGTGTTTTGAAAATTCCCAACTCATACTCACAATTGTGGTGTCTCTAACAATATTCTCATTTCCTGAGAAAGATGGACCAGATTGGAAGACTATTGGTTTCTTGTCAATGACATTGGCTTTTCTAAGAGATTCAACAGTCTGAACATTTATAATGGGCCGTGAAGGAGGAAAGGATCCCACTCCTCCCGTGGCCTTTGCTTTCTTCTTTTTCTTCTTCTGATCGTCACCTGAATAACCATCACAGTAAGCAATTTGTTCCAAAAGAAATGGGAAACTTTCTTTTCAAGATAACAGCACAATCATTCAGGTTAAAGCACATACTCTCCATGAGCAATCGACATAACTCAGCATACTCAGCAGCTTCATCTTCAATCTCCTCTTGTGTTTCAACTTGAGGCCTCCGCCTCATCTTGAGGCCCTTAACACCATCCAACCTGGCATGCTTTGACATATTAGTAGCCTCTTCCCCGTCCTCACACTCCTCAGCATCAAGTAGATTTTCTAGATCCCCAGCAAAGGAATCTAAGTCACTGTTTGCTTCCGATTCACTCTCATTCTCATCGCCATCAAAAGCCGATAGGGACTGAAGTTGCCGGTCCCAAATCTCCTGACACTTTTCCCGGGCCTGCTGTTGCAACTGCAGGAAAGACATTCTCTGCCCACGAGCATACTTACCTATGGTTGTAGAGTCAACCCTAATGCCAGATGCAGCCTGCTCACTTGATAGTTTTCGTATCATAGCTATACGGTGCCATCGAGTTTGCTTAGCGATTATCTCATCGGGAAAATTGAACTTGAGGAGTACCTAGAGAGAAGATCCACCAGACATAACATGTGGTCAACCAATATGGATGCCTTTTAGTTTCGCATGAACAAAGAGCAACATGCACAGAAAATAAGGAAGTGTTAATTTCAGTTGCTGGACATGTGAACGAAAGGGACATACCTCTCGAGCAGCCTCCATGCTTAATCTGCGAAGATCAGCATCCGTACCTGTGACAGTGGAACCCCCTCGACTTGCTGCTGCCTTTTTCTTCGTAAGCCCACCCGCAGCTGGTGCTTTTGGTGCAGCTCGGACATAGCTGAATCCTAGGCCCCGGCCAGATGGATCACCAACACCAGTAATTTCAAGACGTTCGATATTTGCTCTGTCCTACTCAAAAACAGAAAAGACAATCAGATATATAAGCATTATTCTCTGTGAAGAAAAAAAAAGACAGCACGAATGATGACTCATTCGAAACATCAAGTTCACAGCCACAAAAAAACTAGGAAAGACAAAAAAATCTACATAAGAGAAAGAAGGCTAAAATAGATTTAGTCTTTTTATTGGATTTTAAGAGTTTAATGCTCAAGGGCAGATAATATCTACAAAAAGGAACCTCTGAGTGGGTAGTAACCATGCCAGCTATGGATTAGGGATGATTGGCTCTAAAGTTCAGACAAATGCGTTCATCTTCCTTGAATAAATGCAAAGAACCTAGAAATATTTATCATCAGGCAACAGCCCAAAAAAAAGATTGATTCTCACCTGAGTTTTACATGCAACAAAATTACTGCTCAGGTTCCATGGAGTTATCTGCAACTCCCTCTCGATATGTGATGCAGCAGCAAGAGCAATAGCTTCGTCTGGGAGTTGAGTCATTGCAGTTGAGATGCTGGCAGGCAATGTTAGTCGTGTGATTCCTAAATGTTTGAGGCGATATAGTCCAGCTAGCATACTCTCATATACACACACCTAGGCCAAAAAATCATATTAGAATTCATGCATCATAAACATATTTACCAGCCTCTGCTCCAAAAAGATTGTAAAAGGTGATTCCAAATTACAAAAAAAAAAGAGTTAAAAAAAAGAACAAAAAGATGTACAGAAAACAGAAGGCAGAAATTGAACAGTCTTCAGACAGATGAACTCAAATGGTGAAACTTACATGCTCTGGAGCCACCATCTTTTTAAGTTCATTCTCAGGTGGAACGTGAAAATCATGTCTCATGAACCAGCAAGGTTGGCCACTTTTATCCCTCTGCAATTTGCATGTCAATATAAAGAAATCAGGTTATCATTACAATATGAAATAAAATCTATCATGAAAAAACCATAGATATGCGAAATGAATATACAACGCAGTCACTGCATTCCTGATTAAGTGAAATTGTACACGAGAATCTTCATTACCTTCAAAACAGCACAAGCTTTCATGTTTTTTCTGATGATTGCATCTGATAGGTTAGAAAACAGGAATGACAACTCATCTGCAGCAATTGGCTGGCGCATACCACGCTTCATAAATTCTCGGTACACATAAACCAGCATCCTGTTCACCAAGTACATCTGTAGATTCTTCGATCCAGGAGTCATTACCTCCATCAAGGGTTCCTGAAAATTTGGCCTTTGTACATTAATTTTACGACAGTTTTGCAAGTCAGTAAAATAAGCTGCAGATTGATCAATAATTGCGAGAACCAAAATAACAAATACAGTAGAGGGGTGAAGCATAAACAATCTACCTGAGACCTAAACATAACTGAAATAAGTGTCCGTTTCTACATATCATACATACTTTTAGTTCCCCATTTTCTATACCCTCCATCATTCTTAAATTTTGAGCTGGGACAGAGAGGTAAACATCTACAGATATCCACCAAAGACAATACAGGAAGACATGGTAATGCCTAAGATAATGGGATTTAGTTCTGCTAGGCTACAGTTATTCATTAATAAGCAGCTAACTCTTGAATCAGAGAATAACTTGCCACAAAACTATTTTTGATGGATAAGAGCAACAGCACCCTCTGGACAGTAATTGTAACAAATAAATCTTGCAAAACGATCAAACCTGTTGTCCAACAACAGCTATCCTGTCAATACGCCTTAGAGAGAGCTTTCCTTTCGCAGATCGGACCAACAAATAATCTGTTGATTGCACCCGATGTGGAAAAATGGGTGCTCTATACATATTTGTTTCGATAGAAGACTGACTGCAACCAGCTCGCATCTCCCCAAGGAAAGGGGACTTTTCACCAGGTTCAAGAATCTTAATATTCCCTAATGTATCACTTTGATTGCGCAACAATTGCCCACTTTGATCCCCTGAGAATGACTTCTGATAATACGTGCATAAATTTGCACCCATTCCTGCATTGCTCAGCAGCAATGGCCTCTCCTCACAGTACCTACAAGGACAGAAAAAAATAAATGAGAACTTTTCAGCAAAATTCTTTTCCACCTAAACGTCAATCAGAGTTTGTAAATTGCTACTCTGACTTCATCTAAAATAACAAAATCAATCTAAGCTTATTTCTTTCTCATGAGCCATTGGTACAAAATGGCATATCACTAAGCTTCATAAAGGAAATAAGAAAGAAAAATCTCAGTACAAAATCCTTCTTATGCTATTAATCTGATACCGCGAACCCCTTGAGCTTAAGCTATTGAACTAACATAAATATTGTGACAGACAAAGGTGGTATAACTAATAAGGTTTTAAAAATAAATAAAATTAACTTCTAGCAACAGAAATTCCCAAACCTTGGTATAACATAGATATGTCAGCTTGTATTCATATGTTATTTTGTCATACCAAATTTTATTTAGTTGCTAAACATATATCTAACTGAAAGGAATGACCTCAAATTACAATGCATAATGAACAAAAGTTGCAGGTCAGACTACAGATAGAACTTCTTACTCCATTAAGAAAACATGACCATCTTTGATAGACAGGTCGGATTTCTTCTTGAATGCTCCAGGAGGTCTCAAAGATTTATTTTCGCCCGGAAGCTTTTGAGCCTGAGGCCACAGATGTACTTTGGTGCGCACAAGATGGACCAAGGAGTTTGGTTGAACATTTTGAGCAGCGAGGCACTTGTCATCCTCAAGTGCCTTCCCCAAATAGAACATTTTCACTGTTTCTGTTGGCTTAAAATCTACAAAACAATTTAGCCAAGTGAGCTCCAAGATTCGCTGTTGAAATGACAGCAAAGGCATGTTCTCCCAATATTATCCATGTCGTTATGCAATAGACAGAATGTGAAAGGAAAATAACAACCTAGCTTTTTAGAAGCCTTTGCTTTTAAAGAAGATACAGATTCCTCTCTGTCTACGTGTAGCTTGCTTCCTTTACCCCCCAGACTCTTAACAACAATCTTCATTGATCCTTGGGAAGATAAAGTTCCTTGCTGCTTGATAGCTAGCTCATTATCATGTGGATACCACAAAGCTTTTGGCCGGTGAAAATTTGAAATGTCTTTGCTGCAAGGAGTTGATTCAAACATTAAAAGAAAAAAAAAAGATCCACAAAAAAACGAAAGCAAAATGGGGAAAGAGAAGACTATTCGATATGACAGAATTTTGAAGCCTTGTAAAACACATAACAGAGAAAATATGCAACCACCCTTCTTACTTGCTCAGTTTTATCTTCACAGTCTGCAATTTAATTGCTGGTGCTGAGTGGAAAACTCTCAAACTGTGAACCCCACCTTTATTAGAATTTGATTGCAACTGCTGAGAGGTTTTTCCATTCATATAGAACTTGTCATTAGAAATATTAAAGTCCCAGCTCATATTGGATTCACAGCCTTCCAGCAAACTTCCGTCCATGGATTTAAAAGGTCGAGATACAATCATGGCCCCTGCATGAAGTTGAAGATGTTTACTGTCCTCATTATCTGGAATTTCAAAGACCATCTGCTCATCTTGAAGATCGAAAATTAATTTAGCCCTTCTCAACTCTTTATCTGGTTCCCATATTATACTGTCTAACCATGCTTCATCCGCCTTATCTCTCTCTTGCATTGCAAGTCCACTAAACCGCCTAAGATCACCACTTTCAAGTTGCTCTAAATTTCCTCCTCCAACATCATCATTTTCACTAGGGTCATCCTTCTTCCACTGAGATTCTAACCTGAGGAGTTGAGGATGATATCTGCTTTCATAGAGGGACTCAGACGAAGGATGAGGACCTCTTGAGCCAAAGGAATCCAAGAGATTGGCAGAGAAAGACAAGACCATGTTACGATCAGCCTGACCATCATTTTTAGAATTCATTGAACCTAAGCGATCTTGTTCAGTCACTGGTTTCATTCCTCTGACCAATACACCTTCCGTTTCAACTCCAGAAAATGCAATGTTCTCCTCAGAACTACAACTAACTGGAGGAGAAGTTTCCCAAAGAATTTGCTGTTCCCATTCTTGCTGGTCAAGTGGGAAAACTTCCTCAGACAATTGAGACTCCCCTGAAGATAAATTATCATCTGCTACGTCCCCTTTCAATGGTTCACCCATGATACAAGAGTCTCTTCGTAGCTCGGTAAGTTCTCTATATATCAGTGTACTACTCTGGCAACAACCAGCTCTGGGCAGATCTGGACCCTCTCTATATGGTGAGGAAGTATCCTGCAGAATCATGTCATTTGGTTTTGCATGCGAATAAATCCTATTACGGCTCTTCAGGAACACCTCATCATCATCTTCAACAAGCTCAGAGATGTCCATAGATTTGTATTTGTCTGGAACAGAGAAGGCTATTACATAAGGATTCAAGTCAAGATGAAATATTAAATCATAAACTGAAGACAACTGAGAAGGCAATGAAAGAGAGAAAGGACAAGAATTATCAAATTTGCTTCAAACCAAAAGCAGGCAGCATTCTCTTGTTTTAAGAGCAGAAAACTAAAAGTATCAGATTCAACTATTGAGTGTATATCTGCCGGTAAGAATTTGAGCCAACAACAAGTGAAAGGCTCTGTCAACAGTTGGTGCCTTTTAGAACTCAAGGGGGAAAACATAACCTGGAGCATTTTATTTATTTTAAAAGAAAAATGCAGGGTTCAACTAACACGGTAGCTTTCAGAAGAAACAATAATACAACCACTGTTATATAGACCATTTACCTCTATAAGTGAAATATCTACGTTCTCTCTTGTCTCGCTTTTGTGGTGGCTCCTGAATAGCAAATATCTCTGAGAACCGTAAGATAACCGTACCATCTTCCACATACAGAGTAGGCAGCGGAGCAGAACTTTTGTCATCTAGTGAGCCTTCCACAGAGTCATCCACCTCCTTCTGCCCAACGTTTTGATGAGAGCACCAACAGAACAAAATCCAACAGTTCAGACGAAGTTGACAGTTTAGATTATTTCTTTCTGTATTCAACATGGATAGGTTATGTTTTATAAGATTTAGTAAATATCAATCAAACGAACCTCAACATCTTCTGTATCTGCCTGCTCCTCAGTTTCCCCTTTGCTAAGCTCTACAGACTCCAAGGGCTTGTCTTCCTTGCAGACAACTACAGAGGATTAACTTATATCATCTCAAGTCGTGTACAGAAAACTTCCAAAGTCCTGATAAACTAAGAATCTTTAAGAAACACAGGCCAGAACTTTGTATGGGATCATATGCATGGCTTGACAAAATTTGAGAGATGAAATGATACAAGTATACTGAAGAATGGCATCTGACCAGTAACACATATAAGCAAGAACGTTTTCTTTTTTCATCGTGAAGTGATAGCAAATTCGAAAGCAAACCTGGCTCGATCTCTGTTGTGTCAAAATCTCTTTTGACCATATCATGCACCTCACTTTCTTCTTCCTCATCATAATCTTCTTCGTCAAATACAGAAGACTTGGTCTTCAAACTAGCAAAAGAAACTTCAGCTGCAAAATACTCTTTTTTAGGCAGTAGATGATCTTCCTCACTGACTACTTGAATCTCAGGGCCGTCATATTCTTCGTCGATATCCTCGTAATCAACAGCATCCTCAGCTTTTCTATCATAATCTAAAATAAGAAGTTTAATCACGCTCAGTGAAGCTGATAACCAGAATGTGACAGCATACATAACTTAACTGCTACAAAAAGATTAGTTGCTATGTTACTGATCTTAAAAAATATAAAAGTTCACACGTTCGTTTTAAGTTAGGGCTGTGTCGTCCATCAACTTACCCAACATCAATGATATATTATAACAACAGAAATAACACAGTTAAGAAGAATGCAAGACAAAGAACATCAGAATAATATCTAGGGGAAAAAAACGAAAGACTTCTACAGGGTTCTTACAATGTTTTGGAAATGAGGACTAAATCCGAATTAACAATAGAAAATCAGAGGTACTAAAAGAACACTTAGAACATCATGAGACAGATGATCCTAGAAGACAAAATCACCTTGTTCAGCTGTGTCATCTGTCGTGTGTTCAGATTTTTCCAACATCTGTTGAGTTCGAAACACCATGTAGCATCTCAGAAAGCAAAACGGTAATAAAGAATCACACTACAAGACTCAAAGTTCAACCCAGCAGTGGACTATGGAAAACAAATTGACAGAAAGTGCAGAAAATGTTACCTCTATATTTGGGAGAGATGTACCCAGCTTATCAGCCAACGCCGAAAGATGTTCCTTGGCATCCTGTAAAATTGAATAACATTACTAGCAGAGGTATATCTCTAATAGGCAATTCATCACAGTTAGAGGCAAATGGCCATGTGTTCAATAGCATAATCACAAATGGAAACAGTAAAAAACAGGTTACCTCGTCAAGGTAATCAGCATCTAAATCCCCTGAGTTGTCAACATTTCCAAACATAAACCCCAGGTTAAAACCCCTGCTCTCATTTTCCTCATCATCATCTGGAAAGCAGAACATGTAAGATATTAGTGTTCCCCTACCAAGGATCTACGATTAAAAATGAAGAATAATAAATTTAATCATCACAAAAAGACTCAGAAATATATAATTGCACATAAAACTTTCTCTTGTAGATGAGTCAAAATTTTACATTTCTAATGTCCCTTTGTCAACATGATTTTCTTCATTCCCTTACCAGTCTCCAAGTTATTAAAATATCTAGTCATACCTATCTCTGTGCCCAATGAAATTTCATAAATATGCTTTCCAGGTAAAGTGTGGGAAACCCAGATCATCTCTTATATCTCTTTATGCTACACTATGCTTCCACTAGAAATCCTAAGTCCAAAAATCAAAAACTGCGAAGTCGTCAGGAATCAAACTAATTGACCTAACAACAAGTATGTAATTAATAAGGCCAAGTAACCTATGCAAAATATGTTCTCTGCTGCCTCTAGCTGTAGAAATTAACAAACCAAATACAGAGCCATGACTACGAAGAGTAGTAATCAAAGACACAGCTCAGACTATAGAATGAAATGGAAAAAACATTGCAGAACCAAAATGAGAAAAAAAAATAGCAAAAGAAATTCAAACAAAAGACAGCAGATCTAACCCGAGGAACTGTTGTTGTAGGAACCATTGCTGTTTGATTCACCCATATCCACAAGATCAGAGCTTCAAATGTAAGACTGAAAAATGAGAGAATGGGAGGACAAGCTGACTCCACAAAGCCCAAACCGTTTTAAAAAATACTATTAGCAGAAAAGCTCCAGGTTTCAGGAAACCTACAAGAGATCAGAGCCATATTTAACTTCCAAACAATTACAAGTGTCCTAAACAACTTCACAAAATGGGTTATATTCCTTTATATGAACCCTTTCGTTTTAGCTTCTAGAGTTAGTTTCCAGAGTCAAGAGTCTCTAAAATCAAGATGTTGTTCTATTTGACCCAAGACTTACAAGTTCCAAAGGTAAGTCTACCTTCAAAGTTGATGAATTGCAGAATCCAGACTTAGCAGCAAAATAATATGCTCCCTGACCTAACCCTAACCGCACGACACCCAGGTTCCATTCCTATTTCCTTGCCCACGATAAGAAATTCTAATATAAAGTTCCAAGAAATTACTCACCCTCAGATACTTTTTGAGAAACGAAGAGACCGAATGTACCCGTTAGTCCTTGGATCCTAACACGATTGCAAGACGATTCACTAGTCTAAACCTAAAATTCCACTAACCTCTAACAATTTCAACGAAATCGGCGACCAGATGATCAAAACAGAGCTCCCGGTCAGTTTTCAGGCGATATTTCCGGAGAAAACAGCAGAACAGGTGGTCGAATACGCAATTTTGAGCCAAAAAAACCCCCAATGAACCCAAACACCAGGTTTATTCGACTAAGCCAGACCGACAAAACCAGCCGAAATCAAGTTTCTCTTCTCCGAACAACGCAACGGAATTTTCCATTTCGTGTCCCTTTCCGTGTCTCCACTCACTCAGGCGGTGCTCAAATGCCAAACACTTCAAAGCCCAGTGACTGGTCGGCCTCGCCGGGGTCGGGGAGTGGCCGGATAATGAAAACCCTAGATACCCAGACGGAGGAGACTGAGGGAAACTCACCGTATATGGACGACGACGACGGCAAATTCCAACAGCGACGGCGAAGATAACCGATAGGAAGACAGACACATCGCGAGGAAGAGCACGGAGGACAAATCCCGACGCCACGCAGGTCTGTCTCGGGTCTTCTTTTTTATATTACTTCTCTTTCATTTTTTCTTTCTTCAAAAAAATGAAAAATATCCCTTAAATACGCAAAATAATAAAAAAATAGAAAGATTTTCATAAAAAAAATACATATTAATATTTTGATAAAATCTCAAATAAATATTATAATTTTAAATTTTCAGAAGAATACAATAACTTCTTATGTTCTATGTTAAAACTAAATTTTTGAAGGGTTTAAAAAATCACATATCATGTTGGTTTTTTGCCTTTTTGGGAATGTTTAATAGTTTATAGTTTAATTTAATGATTTTTTATATAGCCTTTTATAAATTAATTTCATTTTTCCTAAAAAGTTCAGTATTTAATATAAGAGATAGAAATAGTTAGAATTTTAAAGTTTATTTATTTATTTAGTTTTTTTTTTATAAATTTGTATATTAATATGTGAGTTTTCTTATAAAATATTATATCATATATATTTTAAATTCTTACAAATTGACATCCGATTAAATTTTATTGAGAGAATTTGGGAGAATTTAAAATTTCAGTTTTTTTATTTAAAAAGTTTTAGATGTCAATTGATTAAAAAAATACATTGTTTTATTTGGTACATTTGATAAAATTCAATGTGGTTAATATACTTTTATATATATATTTAGTTGAATGTAAATATATAAGCCAAAAAAGGGGACCAATTTCGTTCAAGGATCTAAAATAGTTGCGAAAGATATTCTTCACCAAATTTCATAGGTAGCATTCTGTTTGATTAGCTGTTCGACTCATGTTTAGATCATGGTTGGACTTGTTAATACAATCAATATTATGTGAAATATCAAACAGATTATAAATGAAATGTTTTCAAACATTTTTTTTTTTTTTTGAACTGTCTACAAATTTTACGCATCTAAATTTTAAAAAGAATAAAGAGATCATGGTTTCAAAATCTTTTTATATATCAAAATTCTTATATATCTTTTTCCAAATTATATAACAAAAGGTGAAAAACTAAATTAGAAAATTTATTTATAGTTATTACATGATAATCACATAGTATTGTTGGTTTAATACATGGAAATAAATTGAGCAACAGTTAAAATTATATAAAAAATGATTTAATTGTTTACAAGTACATTTAAATTTAATTATTTATAGGTATCCATGGTAAGAGATAAACTTTTTTTTTTTTTTGTTAAAGAGTACGATAACAACTTACGGTAAAAAAATATTTATATCAGTAGGATGTTTTAAGTGTAATACTAATATAGAAACAAATAATACTTATTAAAAATAATAATTACATTGATTTGGCATGCGTGATTTTCTCTACTTGTTATGGTGATTGACAACATGGAGGATATTAATTCATTTTTTTTCATAAATATTTTCCATAAACGTGGCAAAATATCTTTTTTTTTTGTTAAAGTTGGCAAAATATCTTCCACATTCATATCGGAAATCACTTCTCGGTTTATATATGTACAATTGTATATATGCTAATTTTGTCCTCAAAACATTTGTTTATTTTTGTTCTTATCATGGTCTCACTTGTCATACCAATTCAATCATCCGGTACGTATACCTAATTTTTCCTCTTGTTCTTTTCAAAACTATAATAAAATATTAATTTTAAATAAAATAATCATATTGTAACCTTTCAATGTTTTTTATTTTGATTGAATTGTAGACAACGTGAATGAACAGAGCGACGAGGGCAGGACCATGCAATGTCAATCAAGATTGTGACAAACCGTGTGCATCAGTTGCATCTTCGAGGGGAATATGTGTTAGTCGTTCTACAAAATATGAATGTTGTTGTGTTTAAATATGACCAAACTGATTATAAAATCAGTGGTTTTCTATGAATGTTTAAATAAAATTGTGTGAGTCTAGTTTCTTATCTTCCAAACTAATATTTTCATCAAAAATATAGATGGTGAATTTTATTCAAAAACCCAATATTCCATAAATGAACCAAATATTTAAAAAAAATAAAAAAGGAAAATATTAGTAAAAAATATATTTTGTAATAAAAACCGAAATTGTAAAAAAGCAATCGAATATAATAACCGATTTGTAACGAAACACTCACTCCTAATTAATATCTTGTCTATGAATCTAATTTCTATCTCATTTGGTCCAAACAACTCATGATGTGGATGAGTTTAATCGTTTTAAATTTACTTTTGATTCTGTTCTTATATCTTACATATTTTTCCGTTGTCTGCCACGAACGATGTTCACGTTGTTGTTCTTCGAGTTGCAGTAGCTCAACGCAAATGCATGTTAAAATTAAACACTCTTATTTGGGTTTTTTTTTATTTTTATTTTTAGTTATATCAATTAAAACGGCATAATCACCGGAATTCCACGAATGACTCACCGTGTTCGAGACCGGCGTGTCGCCACACATAACAAAAATAGAAAGTATGATAAATAGGCAAAAAACGAAACCTATAAATACCATAAATACAAAAAAAAAAAGACTCTTACCCAAGGCCTCGTATAATTTTTAAAATACCATTTCCCCAGAAAATAAAAAAAACGGGGAAAAAAAATACAAAAACCCCATTTTAAAAAATAAAAATAAAAATATGGGAGCCTCCACGAGACTCGTTTTGACACTAAGCGTCGCCGTTTTGCTCGCGGCCTCGTCCGAAGCAATTTTGCCTCTGCCGTTTCTCCCATTGCTTCCCGGGAGAGGGAATCCTGGCAAAACGCAAACGCCGATCGCCGGAAAAAAACGCGCCGCTGGCGGCAAAGATGGTCTGGCGGCCGAGGCGCAGACGAACTGGCCTGGGAAATGGGAGCTGTTCATGAAGAACTCTGGCGTTTCAGCCATGCACGCGATTCTGATGCCTGTGATCAACAAGGTTCAGTTCTACGACGCGACCATATGGAGGGTCTCTCAGATCAAACTGCCGCCTGGTGTCCCGTGCCATGTCGTAGACCCGAAGACGAACCGGCAAGACTGCTGGGCTCATTCCGTCCTCGTCGACATCGAGACCGGCGCACTCAGGCCTCTTCTGGTACGGATATTAATTACTCCCCTTTGGATTGGCTTATCTGCATGCAGCCCCTTGTTGTCGTATATAGGTAGTATTCTTGAATGCCATTTTCTTACATGGAATGCTGACATGGCATATTTTGTACACGTGGCAGTGATTTGCGCTGCATGTATAAATTAGTCGCTTCAACAATCCATGTCATGTCAGACTCAATTAACGATATACGTTGGTTACAAAAGAATATGACAATTAATTTTGACAAAATTAATGTATTTAAATGAAAGTTTTTAGGAAGTATGTAATTTTTTTATGGGATACTTCCTTGTTTATATCCCAAAGTTTTAATAAATTCGGTTGTTTACACAGTGCAGTTTTTGCGATTTATCGATATTAATTATCTAATACGTTTGCTGGTTCGAACCATAGCTAAACACGGACACATGGTGCTCGTCCGGAGGTCTGACCGTCAACGGGACGTTGGTTAGCACCGGTGGATTCGGAGGAGGAGCCAACACAGCCAGATACCTCCGTGACTGCGACAACTGCCCGTGGGTCGAGTACCCTAAGGCCCTCGCAACCAAGAGATGGTATTCAACACAAGCCACCCTCCCCGACGGCTCGTTCATCGTGGTCGGTGGCCGAGACGCTAAAAACTACGAGTACATTCCTCCCGAAGGGGTGATCAACACAAAGCTCTACGACTCACCGCTGCTTAGAGAAACTACCGACAAGGAAGAGAACAATCTCTACCCTTTCGTCTGGCTCAACACCGACGGTAATCTATTCATTTTCGCAAACGACCGGTCCATCCTCCTCAGCCCGAAGACCAACAAAGTAATCAAGGAGTTCCCTAAGCTGCCCGGCGGTGCCCGTAACTACCCGGGTTCCGCTAGCTCCGCCCTCCTCCCCATCCGCCTTTACATCGTTAACCCGAAAATCATCCCCGCCGAGGTTGTCATCTGCGGCGGCGCCAAGAAAGACGCGTACTACAGATCGGGGAAGAAAATCTTCGACAAGGCCTTGCAAGATTGCGCAAGAATCAGCATCAACAGCCCGAGACCGGTGTGGAAAACTGAGATGATGCCTACGCCTCGGGTCATGGGTGATGCCGTGATCCTTCCGACGGGCGATATCCTATTCGTGAACGGCGCTAAACGCGGTTGCTCAGGATGGGAATACGGTAAAGATCCGAACTTTGCGCCGGTCTTGTACATGCCACGCGTCCGTAGAGGCCAGCGGTTCAAGGAGCTGGCCGCGACCACTATCCCACGTATGTACCACTCAACCGCCATCGCTCTACCGGATGGTAAAGTCCTTGTGGCGGGGAGCAACACCAACAACGGATACAAGTACAACGTTGAGTACCCTACCGAGCTCCGGGTCGAGAAATTCTCACCTCCTTACCTCGACCCGGCCCTGGCCAACCAGAGGCCGAAGATCGTGGCGGGAGGAAACCCTAAAAAGATCAAGTACGGACAGAAATTCACCGTAAAAATCCAACTGAACCAGCCTAAGTTCTGGAGAAACGACGTGAAACTGACCATGTTGGCTCCGTCTTTCACGACACACAGCATATCCATGAACATGAGAATGCTCCTGCTGGGTATCTCGGGTGTTACCAACAATGTCGGTCCGAACTTTCACGACATTCAGGCCATGGCGCCGCCGAACGGAAACGTCGCTCCTCCGGGATATTATCTTCTGTTCGCGGTCTACAAAGGTGTCCCCAGTGTCGGAGAATGGATTCAGATCGTCTAATAATGACGACGATTGATGTGATGGTCGGATTCTTTATATTCCTTTTTTTTTTGGTAAATATCTTATATGATTATGCTCGTGAGCGCTTCAACTTCGTTGGCTTGAAGATTTTTTTGAAGTTGTGTGTTTTTGTCATGAGCGAATTGATAGAGGAATGTTTTCCAAGCATTTGTTTATGTGAAATGTTTCTTTCATTATTGTGTAAATGTTTTTTTATTCTATTTTTTTTTCTTGTATTGGATTTAGATATTACTACAAGTCTACAACATACAAAAAAAAAAATAGAATATGGTCACAATTTCTGTGAGGTTTTTACAGTTTTATAAAATTGTACAATATTTGTTGTCCACTCTATATTTCACTTTTTATATTTATTTCAAAAAATATTCCTATATTTATAGTTTTGCTATTAAAATTCACATAAATTATTTTTTCATTTTTTGGTAATAAAAATTTTGTGCAAAAAAAAAAGGTTCGTCATTCAGTCCTAGTTGTTAGTTACATTATTGACAACTAGAATCCATAAAGTACACTCCCAAGATTTGGGAAAAAAAAGAGGTTGTAAAAGAATTTATGAGAAGATTTATCAAATTGGCTTGTAATCTTTACGGGTATTATCCTACAAATTCTTGGCTGATAATTTAGTAAAATACTATACGTTAATTTTGTATATATATATATATATATATATATATTTGCATAAATT